TGAGGCCGCGTCCCACATACAGCAACTAGAAGGATGTGCAGCTATGACATACAACTATCTACTGGGGCTTTGGGGAGAAAAAGGGGAAAAAAGGAGGAAGATTGGCAATAGATGTTAGCTCAGGGCTGATATTCCTCACAAAAAAAAAAAAAAAGGGTGGACATGAACTCAAATTTTAGTATAAAAAAGAAACAGAAAATAATTTTATTTAATAACAATAGAATAAAGGACATGAAATGTCCTTTATGTTAAAAATACTAACTAACTTTTATTAATTAATTATATCTCATTAAGTGGTGTATATGTAATATCTCAATCTTCATGACAACTGTATGAGAGAGGTGCTATTCTTATCCCCAGTTTATCAGTAAACTAACTGAAAAGTTAGTAGCTGTCAGACTGAGATTCACATTCTGAAAGTCTGACAACAGAATCTGTTATGAATGACATTATAATCCCTCCCATAATTTTACATACTTCTTTAATTTGCCTCTGTCAATAAGTAATTCGTCATGAATGTCTTTCTCCAACAATAACTATGGACCAGTGTAATCAGTATGAATACGGCCTTAGTGTGCTATCACAACCGACCATAATTTATTCAGCCTGTTGCTTCCTGTAGCAATTTGTATTTATAATATTTGGTTATTCTAAGTTGTTACATGATAAACATCTTATACCTATATCTTAATGTGCTTTTATAGCCATTTCCTAAGAAGAACTGTCTAAAAATGGAATTTTAGTCAAATATCAGACATAAGGCCTCAAAGTATGCTGGGTCTTATGATAATACTGTATTCTGAACTGAGGGGATCTCTGTGGCGATAAATGGATTTTCTGCTTCATACCAGTGCTGCCATACCATACATAAATATATGTTCTATATCTGCATTCTCCAGTATGGAAGCTACTAGCCACGGGAGACTACCGAGCACCTGAAATGTGGCTAGTGCCACTGAGGAACTGAACTTGTAATTTTATTTAATTTTACTTAATGTAAAATTTGATTTAAATAGCCATCTGTGGCTATTGGCTATCCTATTGGATAGCACAACTTATAGTTTTTATTCTAATGATGTTAAATTCAAAGTGAGATTAGTGGGACAAGATTATTCAGCAGCACTTTGGAGGATATCATGGCTGAAAGAACAGTTTCAGAGCAAAATAAACTGTCGGGAATACATCTGTCCAGAGCACGTGAAAGGAAGCCTCATTGAGACCACAATCCATACATACAAGACATGGCAGTACATTCACATACATGGACATATACAAAAAATCAGGCATTAGGAGATAAAGGAAAAAAGACATTCAATAAAAATATAACAGCTGATTTTAGATTATCTTGAGCTTTTTCTTCAAGTTCAAGAGAATCATTTAAAAGAGGAAGATCTATCTCTTATAAAAATGAAATAAATACATATATATGCCTATGTGTATATTTAAAATTGCTTTAAAAATTATGGATTATACTAAGCAAAAAGAATATCAAAATATGTCATACAGGGGCTGGCCCTGTGGTGTAGTGGTTAAGTTCAGTGCTCTCTGCTTTGGTGGGTTCGGTTCACAGGTTTGCAGGTTCGGATCTTGGGTGCGGACCTACACCACTCATCGGCAGCCATACTGTGGTGGCAACCCACATATAAAATAGAGAAAGATTGGCACAGATGCTAGCTCAGGACGAATCTTCCTCAAAAAAAAAAAAAAAAAAAAGCCAAACAGATCAGCAGTTTTGACATATAGATAGATAACTTTCTGGACTTTTTTCTGTCTTGATGTCTGCCTGTCTGTCTTTCATTCTTTCTTTCTTTATATGTGTGTGTGTGTGTGTGTGTGTGTATTTTTTACAAATGTAATCATATTGTACATTCTGGTTTTTAACTTGATTTTTCTATTTAGAATATATCCTGAATATTTTCCATATCCTTTAAATATTTTCTCCAATTTAGTAGAGTACTTAATATCTACTTAATATTCCATTACGTAGATGATCTGTAATTTACTTAACCGGTCAGCTGTTGCTGGACTCAAAATGCTGAACACTGTCTTCCCTGCATACATCTTGATACACGTTTACAAAGTCCCAGAGGAGGTTTGTGTGGTTAAATTCTTTCACATACTTCTATATGCCCTATTGAAAGGTTGCACAAATCTACAAAATATCCATTTCCCCGTGACCTCATTCATATGGCACATCATCAGTCTTCTAAATCTGCCAATCTAATAACTATAAACTCATATTTCTTTATTTAACATGTATACCTTAATTGTATTGAAATGGAATAACTTTGGTGGATGACATGTTGTTACTTTTTAGCGAATTACCTGTGCTCAAGTTTCATTCAAAGGAAGAAATCCTGGGATACAGGGGAAAAAGCCAGAGTTGAAAGAGAATTGGCTCTGTATTTAGAGATGTGGATTCAAAACACAGCCCTACCTCTTACTAATTGAATTTGAGCAAGGAACTTTACTCTGAGCCTCTATGACCTCATCTGTTGAGTGGAGGTAACTACACAGTATGATTTAATGTTAACGTGATAAAGGACCCATCACATAGAAGATACTAAAAATATCTATTTTGGTTGTTGTCACCTCTCGACTGTGGGCATGAATTCATACCTCTGCAGCTTTGATATTGAGAGATTGGGTGGTCAATGACTTCTTTCGGGAAAACAGATAGATCACCCTGATTAGGAAAGAGGTTGGTTGGAAACAGAGCCCAGAGGATTCTGGGAGCTGTAGTTCTGGCCAGGGGAGGACTCCATGTGGGCAGGTGCATTTTGCAGTGGGAAAGGCCACCTGCTGTTTTCTGCCTGCATGTCTGCAGAGTCCAGATACATACCCAAGCCGTGAAAGATATTCAGATTTGGATGGGGCAGCCCCTTCTCAGCTCTAGAAGGTGGACATGGATGGAAGGGGACCTGCTCAGGGCAGGACTCAACAATTTGGTCTCGGCTACAGATTAGCATCATCAGAAATTGGGGTGGGTCAGAGAGCCTTCTGCTGGAGTTCCTGGTCTGGCTTCATGCAGGAGGCCTCTGCTCTATATCTGTACTTGTGCAGGTGTCTCCCCGTGGTATAGGGAGGGTTTGGCTTTATCCAAACTCCCTCTTACCTCTCCTGATTTGTGTATGAGGCATTGTGGGGATGGAAGCAGAAAGAAGGCAAACAGGATGATATTAACTTAGGTCACTTTGGGATTTCTGAGACATGCCTGGTCTCAAAGCCTCTTGTTCCTCCCCCAGCCCTGGCTTCGCTGGACTCTGTGCCTCTCCAGTGGAGGAAGCCCAAAGAGGACCAACAGGTTCTTGCAGTTCTAAAACCATGGCCCGTGTAAGTTCACATTTCTCCTCCTTGCAATGTTGTGGTTTTGCATTCCTGTGATCATTTTTATTATCCTGAGACTTCCTTCCTAAGACGACCCTGTTGCTGAACCTGCTCCGTGTTACTTTGATCAAAGTGAAGGATGGTGCCACACAGCCTAGCATCCTCCTCATTCGCCCCTCTTGCCTCTTACCTGTGTTCACCTATTCATCAGCTCTCTATGTGGCCAGTCTCTCTCAGGAGCAGTGATGGAGCAGTGAAAGGTGAAGTCCCTTGAGGGAAATATTGGAACTTCCCTCGTTAGGGTCATGATTCCATGACACAGAGATGATGGTCCCATTGGACTCCACGGACCTGAGTTTGCTGGTTGATAAGATGGAATTCAGTGTTGAGTGTTCTGCATGTGGTGAGATCTCATACCTTGAGAGGCTTATAGGACTGGATTGGAGTGTGAGGCCTGCATGTGGGGATTTCAGGGATCTAGCCGGGGGGTCCCCAGAGGGACGAACAACAGGACAAAGGTCAGTTTCGTGGTTGAGGAGTTGGCTGGTCTCCAGTGACCTCAGTGTCATTGTGGATCATCCTCCATCAGCATCCTCTGACTCAGGATCAAGCCAGGTGTTGCTGAGGGACGATGGTGGTAGCAGGTAGGAAGACCCTCCAGATCCCTAATGGGGCGTGGAAATAGGCTCACAGGACTGGGGAAGACCTTAGACATTTGTCCAACCGAAATGCCTAAATATGAAAAAAGGATTAGTCTGATCTGTCCACAAGATGGATGATTAGCCAGCCAATAAATAAATTAACTCAAGACTTTGTCACTTGGTACAACAAGGAAAAATGCTTAGGACATTATCTTGCATAATGATGAACCTGAGTTGCGATGAAATAAAATGTCAATCAAGTCCTGTTTTCAAAGATAGAGATTTCAGAGTACTTTTGGGGAAAAGCAATTCATTGCTTCTTCTTTTTTATTTAATTCCTTGAAAGGAAGATAGAATTTATTTCTATTTATTCAGTAAATAACATTTATTCCTTAAAATATTATTAATTATTAATATTAATTTTTAAATTAATTAAAATTTTAGAATTTTAATTAAAATTAATCTGTTAATTTTTATTAGAATTATTATATAGAATTAGAATTAGAATATTAGAATTAGAAATGATTCTAATAATTATTTCTAATTAATTATTAATATTAAATAATATAGAAATATTTATTTCTATTTATTCAGCCTATTTCTATTTATTCAATAAACTCATATTTATTCAGAACTTAAAATGCAGGTACATGATAGGCAGTATGCTTGTTTATATGATTTCATTTCATTAGGAAACTTCGATTATTTTATTCATTTCCAGACGCTTGGATGATTATATTATCCCATGGGATACAGACATTTTGTCTGTACCAGCAGGGTTCTTTGAAAGCATATAGGTACCCACTTTAGAAATACTAATTTCCTGATTCTTCCTTACATGTCACAGGCTTGAACCCCAGTTTACTCGCTATGTTGCCTCTTTCCTGCAAAGCGGTTTTCCATCTTGAAAATACCTTTAAAACAATGTTTATGATACGTGGCTCTGTCGTTTCAGATGTCCCTGGCATTCCGGGACGTGGCCATCGACCTGTCCCAGGAGGAGTGGGAGTGCCTGGGCCCTGTGCAGAGGGCCCTGTACAGGGATGTGATGCTAGAGAACTACAGCAACTTGGTCTCGTTAGGTGAGGATATCTCTGCAAATAATTTACAGTCTGCTTTCTGGAATATCAGTTTTCTCCTTTGTTGAAGTTCAGAGCTCTGTTTTAAGAAACCAGCTGAATCTCTGCCCTGTTTCGAAAGAAATGGTTTGAGCGTTATCGGGTTGGGAATGGGCACTTGCATTAAGCACCTTGATCTTCCCCATCCTTCAGTGACCTTCACTCCTCTCTTTGGCCCTTCCTACAACTGCCTGTTTTCCTGAATGATTCCTAGATTTGGGTTCTATAACATTTTCAGAGAAGCCAGGTTTCATGTAATGTGTATGCTCAGAATTCCTATAGCTGCTCTGGGTTAATGTTGGGCCCACCTTCAAAGAGATCAGCTAGTCTCAGGGTTCTGGCTTTCTTTGATCATCAGTTTATACAGTGGTAGATTGGGTTAACAATATCCATTGAAAATTCAAGCAAACACATCCCATCCTGGAAGAGACATGTTCTCTTTAACCTACTTCATGGTTGAAAGTTATAGTCTCTGAATTTTGCGTTTTCTGTTGAAAGAATTTTGAGGAAGAAACTGGATATGTTTTAGGAAACAGTATTTTTCTTTTACTAAAATAATAATGACAAAAATAATAGTGTATACTGGTATCCTTTTAAATCTTTACATATATTAATTCATTTAATTCTCATAACAGCTCTACGAAGTAGGTAATATTAGCCCCATTTTTCATTTGATAAAAGTACAGCACATGGGGGGCTGGCTTGGTGGTGTAGTGGTTAAGTTCGCACTCTCAGCTTCGGCAGCCTGGGGTTTGTAGGTTTGGATCCTGGGCATGGACCTACACATCGCTCACCAAGTCGTGCTGTATTTTCCCACATAGAAAATAGAGGAAGATGGGCACAGATGTTAGCTCAGCAACAATCTTCCTCAAGCAAAAAGAGGAAGATTGACAACAGATGTTAGCTCGGGGCCAATCTTCCTCACCAAAAAGAAAAAAAAAAGTACAACACATGGAGGGTAAGTGACTTTTCAAGGTCACAGTGCTGGTAGGCGGCAGAGGATTTGAACCCAGGCTGTAGGGCCCTAGAGTCTGTGTTCTCTAGACTCCTTTAAAAGCAGAGCAGACCTTTTCCCTCCGCTTTCTGTCCTGTTTAGTCCTATGATCATGAGTCCATCTAAATGTCAATATTCTTCAGTGAGCTTTTTCATTTTATCAAGTACCTTTTTGACCTCCAGTTTAATATAAATATAAGCAAGTCTGAATTAAGTCATTTTGAGCTTACAGTTTTTGGGTTGTTGTTCTTATTGTAAATCATGTGGCATTTCTTTCTTATGAGCAGGGTGCCGCATTCCTAAGCCAGATGTGATTACTCTATTGGAGCAAGAGAAGGAGCCCTGGATGGTACTGAGGGAGGGGACGAGAAGATGGTGCTCAGGTGAGTGACGGCAGATCAGGCCCTCCCAAGTTACGGCACCCGCCTCGGGGGACGCACACCCCTGAGATGTTGTTTGGAAAGCTCCGTTCAAAGGCCCAAGGCCTGTGGAGAAGAGGCCTGAGACCCAGAAAACATTAAGATCCCCTCACCATGAGCTCCCAAAGGCGCTTCACCTGGACCCCCACTGCCATGCTCCTCGTTTCCCTGCTCTTGCCCTCCTCGCATTTCAAAGAGGGGACTGTTTTCTTTCACCCCCATTGACAACCATTTTACCTGTGTTTCCAAGTCTGCTTTTATAGTTACACTTATATTCATTTCTCCATTGCCTAAAATGATTTTATTCAACACAAATTGCCTGTTGACTTGAAGCCAGGCACTGTGCTAGAGCCTAGGCACCGTGGATGTAGGTTCCTGCTGTTATGGGGAGGTGTCGATACTGTAGTAAGGGAGACATTTAGTAAACAAGCAAACAGATAAGATAATATCAGGTTGATATGCATTGTGAAGAAAATTAAGCAGGGTAAGGAGACAGAACGTTGCAGGGTTGTGGGGCTAATTTAGATAATCTCAACAAAGGCCGTTCTGAGGGGATAACCTTTGAGCAGAGATATGAAGTGAGGTCTCATGCCATGTGAATGATGAGGAAGAGCATTCCAAACAGAGTAAACAGCCAATGCAGATTCTGAGATCCAGTCATCTGTGTTTATTCCCAAACCAGATTATGCCAGCTGATTTGAACATTCTTGTACAATTATTTGTGTGTTCATATGTTTTCCTTTCTCTTGGGAATATGCAGAAGTGGAATTGCTGAGTCATGGGACAGGTGTATTTTCTCAATCATATGTATTGAGGCATAATTTACATAATATAAAATGCACCCATGTTCAGTGTCAACACTATAACTTTTTAAAACAGTTTCATTAATGTATAATTAGCATACAGTAAACTGCATATATTTAAAGTGTACAGTTTGATAAGTTGACATATGTATGTTGTGAAACTTTTACACAATCAAAATAATAAATATATCCATCACCTCCAAAAGTAATCCCTTCCTCCTGCTGCTCTCTACCCCCTCCCCAGGCAACCACTAATCTGCTTTCTGTCACTATAGTTTGCATTTTCTAGAATTTTGTATAAATGGAATCATACAGTGATTTTTTTTGATTTAGCTTCATTCACTCAGCATAATTATTTTAAGATTCATCCATGTTGTTGTATGTATCAATAGTTCATTCTTTTTTTACTGCTGAGTAGTATTTTATTGTATGGATATGCCACAATTTGTTTATCCATTTACCTGTTGATGGACATTGAATTATTTCCAGTTTGGGGGTTTTCCAAATAAAGCTGATATAAACATTCATGTACAAGTCTTTGTATAGATATATGCTTTCGTTTATCTTGGGTAAATATCTGGGGAGGAATGGGTGGATCATATGGTAAATACGTGTTTAAATTTTTAAGAAACTACCACACTGTTTTCCAAAGTGGTTGTACCATTTTACCTGCCCAGCAGAAGTATATGAGAATTCTAGTTCCTCCACATCCTTGTTAGCACGTGCTATGGTCAGTCTTTTTAATTTTAGTTATACTAATAGGTGTGCAGTAATATCACATTGTGGTTTTAATTTTCATTTCCCTAATGCCTGATGATGTGGAGCAACTTTTCATTGCTTAATTTCTCATTCATATAGCTTCCTTGGTGAAGCGTCTATTAGAATCTTTTGCCCATTTGCTAATTGAGTTGTTTGTTTCTTTATTGGTTTTGAGAGTCCCTTGTATTCTGGATACAAGTCCTTTATCAGATGTGTGATTTGCAAATATTTTCTCCCATTATGTGGCTTGTCTTTTCATTCTCTTAACAGTGTCTTTTGAACAACATAAGTTCTTCATTTGATTAAGTCCAATTTATCACTTTTTTCTTCTATGGATTGTATGTTCAGGATCATATCTAAGAAATCTTTGCCAAACTCAAGGTTACAAAGCTTTTCTCCTATGTTTTCTTCTAGAATTTTTATAGTTTTAGGTTTTTACATTTGTGTGCCAGTGGTACACAAACTCTTCCAGAAACTTCAAGAGGAGGGAATATCTTCCAGCTCACTCTCCAAGGCCAGCATTACTCTGATACCAAAACCAGACAAAGACATTACGAGAAAAGAGACCTACAAATCAATATCCCTCATAAACACGATGCAAAAATTCTAAGGTATAGGAAAATACACAGAACAACAAATGAGAAAATTAGTGAGTATGTAGTTGAGAAAAGCCCCAGAACTAAGTGCTGGAATATGGAGTCAAGAACGTGGACTGACTTAGATGTGGTGAGTAGGGAGAGCCTTTCTGAGGAAGTGACATTTAACCTGAGACCTGAAGAGTGAGAAGGAGCCAGCCATACAAAGAACCCAGTCAGAGGATTCCTGGGAAAGGACGCAGCCCTGTAAAAAGCCTTAAGACATAGGGAAAGTTGTGGCATATTATAGGATCTAAAAGGATGCGTTGCAATGGGGGACTGAGAACAAAGATGTCATTGGCTTGAACAGGTCTTACAGATAAGCAAGGTGATATGGCGGTAATATGTTTATCCATGGTAATATGTTTGGATTTTATTCTAAGGGTAAAGAGAAACCTTTGGGAAAAGAATTAGGTACAGATTCTCAAAATGATCTGCATCAACATCATCTGATGAAAAAGATTAAAAATGCGGATATCCAGGACATGTTCCTATAGATTTGGATTCCATTTGTCTGGGCTGGTGCCTGAAGAGCAGCATATGTGAGGAACTCCCCTACATCCGTCCTAAACAGGAGGACCACTGACTTGACTTGTTCCTCTAATCACCTGTTTTACCCTCTGTTAAAGTCACATCATTTTCTGAGGTCTTTTTGTCTTCTTTCAAAATTGTATTACAATAATTTAGAGTTCTCTAAGCCAGGATCCAGCAGCCTACGGCCCGTGGGCCAAATAGCTCACCGTCAGCTTTTGTATGGCTCACAGGCCAAAACTGGTTTTTACATTTTTAAATTGTTGAAAAACAAAATCAAAAGAAGAATATTTTGTGACAGAAAGTAATTTTATGACATTCAGATTTCAGTGTCCATAAAGAAAGTGTTATTATAACACAGCCATGCTCATCAATTACATATCGTCTATGGTTGCCTTTGTGCTATAACAGCCGAGCTGAGTAATTGTGACAAAGACCATATGCCCTACAAAGCCTAAAATTTTTACTATCTGGCCCTTTACAGAAAGTTTGCTGACCCCTGCTCTAAACCTTTACTTCTAATGTGTGTTATTTTTAACCCCTCATCCCATCCCCAACACAGAAAAATCACATTACAGCATTTGTTTCCTTTTTGCTTTTTTTTTCAGATTTGGAGTCTAAGTATGTCACCAAGAAGTTATTTCCAGAAAGGGATGTTTCTGAAATACATTTATCTCGATTGCAGACAGTGGAAAAAAGTAAAACCTACATCCATGAGGACACCATTTTCAGAAATGATTTGCAGTGTAAACATGAATTTGAGAGACAAGAAGAACATCAGATGGGATGCGTTAGTCAAATGATAATCCACAAACATATGTCTCTTCCTCTACATCAGAAAATTCACACTAGAGAGAAATCATATGAATGTAAGGAATGTAGGAAGGCTTTTAGACAACAGTCATACCTTATTCAACATCTGAGAATTCATACTGGTGAGAGACCCTATAAATGTAAGGAATGTGGGAAGGCCTTTTGTCGTGTGGGAGACCTTAGAGTACATCAGACAATTCATGCCGGGGAGAGACCCTATGAATGTAACGATTGTGGGAAAACCTTTCGACTTCATTATCACCTTACCGAACATCAGAGAATACACTCTGGTGTGAAACCCTATGAGTGTAAGGAATGTGGGAAGGCCTTTAGTCGTGTTAGAGACCTTAGAGTACATCAGACAATTCATGCTGGAGAGAGACCTTATGAATGTAAGGAATGTGGGAAGGCCTTTAGACTTCATTATCAACTTACTGAACATCAAAGAATTCATACTGGTGAGAGACCTTATGAATGTAAGATTTGTGGAAAGACCTTTAGGGTACAACGGCATATTAGTCAACATCAGAAAATTCATACTGGTGTAAAACCCTACAAATGTACTGAATGTGGGAAGGCCTTTAGTCATGGCTCATACCTTGTTCAACATCAGAAAATTCATACTGGTGAGAAACCCTATGAATGTAAAGAATGTGGTAAGTCCTTTAGTTTTCATGCAGAACTTACTCGACATCATAGAATTCATACTGGTGAGAAACCCTATGAATGTAAAGAATGTGGAAAAGCCTTTCGTCTCCAAACAGAACTTACTCGACATCATAGAATTCACACTGGTGAGAAACCTTATGAATGTAAGGAATGTGGGAAGGCCTTTATTTGTGGCTATCAACTTACTTTACATCTAAGAGCTCATACTGGTGAGATTCCCTATGAATGTAAGGAATGTGGGAAAACCTTCAGTAGTCGCTATCATCTTACTCAACATCATAGAATTCATACTGGTGAGAAACCCTATGGATGTAAAGAATGTGGGAAAGCCTTTCGTCTTCAAGCAGAACTTACCCGACATCACCGAATTCATACTTGTGAGAAACCCTATGAATGTAAGGAATGTGGGAAGGCCTTTATTCGCAGCAATCAACTTATTTCACACCAGAGAATTCACACCAATGAGAATACCTATGAATGTAAGGAATGTGGGAAGATTTTTAGTCGTCGCTACAATCTTACTCAACATTATAAAATTCATACTGGAGAAAAACCCTATAAATGTAAAGAATGTGGAAAGGCCTTTCGCTTTCAAACAGAACTTACTCAGCATCATAGAATTCATACTGGCGAAAAACCCTATAAATGTCAGGAATGTGGGAAAGCCTTTATTCGTAGCAATCATCTTACTCAGCATCACAGAATTCATACTGGTGAGAAACCCTATGAATGTAAAGAATGTGGGAAGACCTTCAGTCGTCACTATCATCTTACTCAACATCACAGAATCCATACTGGTGAGAAACCCTACATATGTAACGAATGTGGGAGTGCTTTTATTTGTAGTTACCAACTTACCTTACATCAAAGAATTCACACTGGTGAGATTCCATATGAATGTAAGGAATGTGGAAAGACCTTTAGTCGTCGGTATCATCTTACTCAACATTTTAGACTTCATACTGGTGAGAAACCTTACGGATGTAAAGAATGTGGGAATGCCTTTCGTCTTCAAGCAGAACTTACTCGACATCACACAATTCATACCGGTGAGAAACCCTATAAATGTAAAGAATGTGGGAAGGCATTTAGTGTTAATTCAGAACTTACGCGACATCACAGAATTCATACTGGTGAGAAACCCTATAAATGTAAAGAATGTGGGAAAGCCTTTATTCGTAGTGATCAACTTACTTTACATCAGAGAAATCATATGAGTGAGGAAACCCTATGCATAATGTAAAGAGGATACAATGGCCTTTAGAAAATGCCTTTTATAACAGCAGAGAACTCATAATTTAAGAAATTTTTTACTTGTTAGGGAATCCCTTTTGTTTCATGTGCAAAACTTAACAGAAATAATTTTATACTATATATTGATTTAACAAGTTGAAAATTACAGCATCACCCAGTCTTGGTTAAACTTTCACAGACTGATACTGGTACAATGCATCTCAGACCAAGGTAAAGGACCTTCCCCCCTCAAACTTGGTTATTGACCAATACTTTTATAAAATGCAATAAAATTGGATTATCAGAAAAATGAAATGGAAAGAAAAACACATACAAAATGAAAGCCACCATTTTTTTATTATTGAATTTAATGGACATAAATTAGTTCTGTCAAATTTCTGTAAAGGTTTCTAAACGCTTGCTCTCAGTATCTGTACCTTAACTTGTTGCAGACCAGAAGAAAACATCTGTGACCAGCATCAGTACAGGGACCACACTTTATATAGCACTGTAACAGAAAATAATTCTGTAAATGCAATGAATGTGGGACAAGACTTTAGCCATGGCACATCTTTACTATAATTCTCATAATCCCACCTCTGCCTGTGTGATATTTGGCAAAAACTTCTCCCCTCTGTGCCTCAGTTTTAAAATGGTGATAATAGTACCTCCCTAATAGTATTTTTGTGAAGATGAAATGTTAATAAAACAACAAAACCTTTAGAAAAATATGTGCTCAATAAATATCACTGTTATTTTTATCATTAGTGATGTTAGTATTTCATGTGAGAGGAAGACCCTATGAGTGTAAAGAATTTGTAAAAGCCTTCCATTACCTTTCAGTCTTTACTTAAACCGAGATAATTAATTGTGGATAAAATCCAGTAAAATAAACTTCCATTTCTAATATCAGAACTCATCTCTGAAAACTAATGTGAGAAAGGAATCTCTAGAGCTGATAAGTGTGAAGATTATGAGAGTAAAGCTTTTGAAGAATCAGGGAGAGCTGTAATGCTTTTTCTTTTCATAATCCAAAAAGCATACAAATTATAGTCTACTTTTTGTGCCCAAAATTTATGACAAATTAGAAACAACCAAAAGACTACTGTCCATTTGGAAAAATTTTTTTAAAAAAATTACAGTGAACACTGGTATGCCCTCTCTAGATTTGGTGATTGTAATTATATTGTCATATTTGGTTTGCTTCTATATAATTTTTTACATATTTTTTGCTATGGTGTTTGAGTATAAATTGTAGACATCATGACATTTCACCTTTCTGTATATAATCATGCAACTCCTAAGAATAAAGACAACCTCCTACTTAATCACTATATAACTTCGCACCTAAGGAGATTAATAATAATTCAGTAATCTGTAATATTACAGATAGACACCAGTGCCTTAACCCAACATATCTGAAAGAATGTCTCTGGGAACAGTAATATTTAATGGTACTTGAAAAATGTTCTGTGGTCACAGGCTTATGAAGTTTTGAATACTGAATTTCTTCTAAGAAAATAATGCTTATTATCAGGTTATCGAAAGACTTGAGTCCTACACTAAAGGAAATTTGCTTGACTTTGTTTAATCCCAGTGTATCTTAAACCTTACTAAGGAAGTCCCATTCACAATACCTAATGCCTTTGGGGTGTGAACCCACACTGGAAATGTTGCCATAACCAGAAAACCCTAAGCAAGGACTATTCAGATAAAATGGCAGATGCTTAGCTATGTTGAGAAAAGAAATGGGTGGTGTGTTTCTCTGCTGCTCACATCTTCCTCTGCAATCAGTTGCTTGCCCTCTGAATGTAGGGCTGCTACTTTTCTACACAATTAAAAACCCGTTTGGCCCAGTTTTTTATATGAACGTACTATAATGTATTTAAAAACCTTCTTTTATTCTTTAGTGTTCAAGTTTCAACAGTTTGTCACTATTTCAGATATACTTCAGTGAATATCCTTGTCGTGATCATTGGTTTATGTGAGCCAGAATTTCTTTACTTGTATACATGTGGAAGTAGCATTGCTCATACATTATATATTCTTTCAGTTATGTTAGATGTTGCTAAATTGATCATGAATTATATACACTTCCAATTCTACTAGATATTGCCAAATTGTTCTCTTAGACTCTTGTCAGTACTCAATTTGACAGGATTATTTCTATCAAATTGAATATTCCTACAGCATCACTTTAGATATATGTTTTAATATATAATTTCATAAATTTCAATTCCAGTTGAGCATTTTTTCAAACATGTTTCTTGGCCAATCATCATTCCTTTACTTTGACTTTCCTATTCTTGACTTGCTCCATTATTTTTGTTCTTTTTTTTTTTTTCTAGTTGTCTTGAATGTCATTCTGGATACTTCATTTGCTATATTGATGCAATTCTTTTCTCCTACTTTCAATATAGCATTAGTTATCTATCTACTGAACACTCATTCTATTTTTATGAGACAGATTTATAGGTTATAAATTGTATAACCTGGAAATAAAATTTTATTTATTTCCCAATATTTATTACACTATTTACTTTTCTTATTGCAATTGCTAGACTCTTCAGAACAAGGTTGAATATTATGGTGTTACAGGCATCAATTTCTCCAAATTTAATGGAAATTTTTTAACAATCATTTACTATAATGTTCACTCTTTATTTGAAGATAAATTCTCTTTGTTGCCTCTAAATAATTTCCTTCAATATATGTAGGGGAGTGGAGGATGCCTACCTTATTTGGTAGTGACTGCTGAATTTTGTCCAAGGCCATTTTTATTTTTTTTTCTTTGTGAGGAAGATCAGCCCTGAGCTAACATCCATGCTAATCCTGCTGTTTTTGCTGAGGAAGACCGGCTCTGAGCTAACATCGATTGCCAATCCTCCTCCTTTTTTTCCCCAAAGCCCCAGTGGATAGTTGTATGTCATAGTTGCACATCCTTCTAGTTGCTGTATGTGGGACACGGTCTGAGCGTGGCTGGAGAAGCGGTGCGTCGGTGCACGCCCGGGATCCAAACCCGGGCCGCCAGTAGCAGAGCGCATGCACTTAACCTTAGCTAAGCCACGGGGCCGGCCCAGTCCAAGGCCATTTTATCTGTTGTCATGATCTTACATTTTTCTCCTTAAATTTATTGATGTATTGATTTGTACTTATTAATTTCTTGCATTTTAAGCTTTTCTTGTATTTACCATGATTTTTGTCATACTGCTAGAGTCCATTTGGTAATATCTTAATTAGAATTTTTCCATCTGTAGTCATAGGTGAGGCAGTATTATAGTTTCCTTTTTTTTATTGATAAGCTTTTAGAATTGTAATGAACTGTGACTAGAAACAACTTGTCTTTAAGACACGATGAATTTTTAAATATTGACTTTGTATTTTATAACCTTGCTAAATTCACTTTGTTCTAGAAGGGTTTATTTTTTATAGATTGCTTGGAATTTTCTATAAACACAATCAAGACATCTGTGAAGACATTTCCTTTTTAATTTTTATTTCTCTTTATTTCTTTTACTTGCCTTATTGCACAGGCTGGGACAGTGTTGAATAGAAGCACTCAGAGTGGACCTTGTTTCTGACTTCAGGAAAAAAGCTTTCAGTATTTGATCATAAAGTGTTATGTTAGGTGCTCGTTTTCCATAAATATCCTTTGTGAGATTGGGAAAGTTGGTGTTGAATTTTGTCAAATACATAAAATGCAACTATTGACATGATCTTTTGGTTTCTCTCCTTTAATGTGGTGAATTACTTTGATTAACTTCAGAATGTCATACCAGCCTTGCATTCCTGGGTTATGCCCCACTTGGTCATGATGTATTATCCTTTATATATATTGCTGAATTCCATTTGCTAATTATTTTTTGGAGATTTTTGTGTGTACGTTTATTATTGATAATGCTCTGTAATTTTTTTTATATCTTTCTCAGGTTTTAGTATCAATCTTAAGTTGATGTCATAAAATGAGATTGGAAGTGTTCCTTCTATCTCTATTTTCTGAAAGAGATATTGTAAAATTCGTATTATTTCTTTCTTAAATCTTGGGTCAAATTGCCATTGAAACTGTCTGAGCCTGGAGTTTTCTTTGTGGGAAGGGTTTATAGTTTCAAGGACAATATACTCCCCTAAATTGAATTTTTATATCACAGCAACAAATGAAAATAAAATTTAGAGAGAAAAGTTCTGTTTATAAAGAACATAAAACACATAGGAGTAAATTTAACAAAACATATGCAAGACCACTACCTGAAAATTACACAATTTTGCTGAGAGAAGCTAGAGAACACCTAAATAAACGGAAAGATAGGCCATAATCATGGAAAAGAAGATCCAATAATGTTTAGAAGTCACTTCTCCTCAAATTGATCTGTACATTCAATGGAATCTAATTGAAATCACAACAGCCATTTTTGTAGAAATTGCTAAGTTGATTATGAAACATGTGGAAATGCAAAGGACTTAGAATAGCTTAGATGATACTTAAAAAGAAGCACAAAGCTGAGAGATTTACACTACCTGAACTTGAGATTCACTATGAAGCTAGAGTAATCAAGACAATGTGGTATTGGTATAAGGACAAACTAATAGATAAATTGAACAAAATCAAGAAATAGACCTACACTTACATAGTTATTTACTTTTCCTAAAAAATTCCAAGGCAGTTCAATGAGAGAAAGGAAAATTCTTTCAACAAATGAAGCTGAAACAACTGAATAAATGTGGGGAGAAGGTTAACCTCAACCTATACCTTACCTCATACACAAAAATTAAATTGAGGTGAATCATAGATATAAACAACTATAAAACTTCTAGAATAAAATATAAGAGTATCTTCACACCCTTGGGGTAGGCAAAAAGCTCTAACCTTTTTCCAAAATTGAACTTCAATAAAACTAAAAACTTCTCATCAAAAGATAGGATTAAGACAATGAAAATGAAGTCACAGACTGGAATAAAATACTCGCAATACATAGATCCAAAAAAAGACTTCTATCTAGCATATCTAAAGAACTGATGCAACTTAATAGGATGAAAAATTTTTTTAAATGGGCAAAAAATGTGAACAGACACTTCACAAAAAAAGATACACAAATGGCTAATAAGCACAAAAAAGTCCACAGCATGAGTGTTTTAACCATGTTACATTGGGGTGAGGTGTTGTGATACAGATCAACAGAAAACTGGAAAATTTTCTCATTTATTATACTCACAGTTCCCCGGGGACAACACAGCATGCCATGCAGGGTCACACACAAGGCAGAGAGAGAGAGAGGAGAACTGGGGGCAAGAATCCTTGTT